AAATACAAGATGCAATTTACATAATATATTGATAACATGTACCTTGGTGTGGGGAACTCATCCTTATATGTACAATCAGAAAGGGGGTTATATAAAATATCACAGCTATATAGATGGCCCTATGGGTCATCGCACGTGCTTTCCTTAACAGAATAAAATATTTAGGTGTTTGCTCATGTCTGTGCATTTTCCTTGCCACTCACAGCATACAGGCCATGGTGGAGGGTAATGTCTAATAATGTTGTGAAAATGAAGGAGTAAGAGGTAGATCAGATGGGCTGGAAAGAGCAATAAGGAAGGCGAAAAGATTCCAGTCCACCTTATGAACCCTCCACCTAGAGAAAGAGAGGAGGAGAGCAGTAAAAAGAATGATACAACAATGGGGAAATCATCCCCTTATGGAGGTCATTGAGGACTCCCCACTTCCCTATATAAAGGGAAGAGGAGCAGAGAGAAAGATCAAAACAGGAAAAAGTGCAAGTGTGCAAGTCTACAAGAGTTGTCTAGTAGGAATTCAGGAGAGACAATAAAGAAGAGAAGATGAAAGGTTTTAAAATACAGTCACAAGTATTTATAAGAACCTCACCCCAGAGGGCATGCCAACAGATAAAATCACCCAGGAGTAGCACAGACTCCAGTAATGAGTCTAAGAGGTATTCAAGATTGGGAAGAGAAATTGGATTATGTGGAGGGAGATAAATGGAACAAATGTATACCTTTACTCACAGAGATACAAGCAGCAGTGGAATGAATGTTCTACTGAAAAAGATGGAGGATGAAAGAAACATCACGCCAGATCAAGAGAGCAGTAGAGTTTGGGGTTTCAGAAAAGGATGGAGGGAAGGAAAGAAAGGAATAACCACGGAAATGACTAGTATTAGTGCCAACCATCGGCACCTGGAGATATACAAAGCAGTGAGAACAGTAAAATAAAACATTGAAAATTCATTAAAATGTACAAAGTACATTTTAGATGTACAATGAACATTTTCATTAAAATGTACAATGTACATTTTCATTAAAGTCAATGTACATTTTCATTAAAATGTACAATGTACATTTTCATTAAAATGTACAATGTACATTTTCATTAAAATGTACAATGTACATTTTCATTAAAATGTACAATGTACATTTTCATTAAAATGTACAATGTACATTTTCATTAAAATGTACTATGTACATTTTCATTAAAATGTACACTGCACATTTTCATTAAAATATACATTGCCTGGAGAGTGCAAGAGAGGCCAAGACTACCCTCACCAGCCCAAGAGAATTATACATGAACTCCTTCACCATGAAAAGAAAAATCCTTTAGGGGGAAGAGAGGGAAGGGAGGTTGCTGGTACAAAATGTCATCCATTTCTGACTATTATGAACTTATCAAATGAGACTTTCACTTGTACTGCTTTAGAAAGCATTCAAGGGAAATAGTTCAGAAACTTTATTACAATAAATAGAAATTTCTGGTGATCCTGAAGTTATCCTGTTGAGATTGCTCTATGAAAATTGATCACACTAGATGAGAGAGTTCAGCTTGGCCTACCGGGAATCAGAGCAAAAACCTTGCCCCCTTCACAGAGGCACAGAGAGCAATAACAATTCACCACCATACTGGAAAACATCCAGAAAGTCAGTGAAGCTTTATAGACAACTGGAAGGATAACTAAGCCCTAAGACTCGTACTCACCAAACAACTCCACAAGCAATTGACAATAAACAAGGGAATTTTAAAAATTTGCACAAAACTCACAGTACCAAATGCTGCTAGTTACGCCGACTTCTACATGCAGCTATCTTCCTTATTCAGTTCATTTGTTAATGTCCAGGTGGACAGAAGGGTTCTGGATCTTTCAAACATGGTAAGCCCCCTGTTTCAAGCTAAGTGCCAGTTGTCCTTGGAGTTGTTCGTGTGAGACCCATTTGCTTTATACAGTCTATGTTTTAGTATTTAGCTTCAAAGTCATGTTTTCTATCAGGCTTGTTGTGTGGGCTTGGCTTGATTGTGCTTTTGAGCTGCATACAATTTGGGTTTCTTCCCAGGGTGCCCACTAGCACTGCTCCTGCACTGACCAGAGATATCTTCTATGGAGCGTTCAGGTGTTTGTTCCTGACAGACCAAGTCACTGAGGTGGAAAGGCTCACTTAGGGCTAAAGCCCTATTTGGGCTCAAAGCTGGGGGCATTCTGTTAGTTGTGCTGGGGCACGAGGGTCTAATGCATTAGTTTATACTGCACATTGTGGGTGCCTGCCATAGCCTGGTTGTTTTGACTGTTCTTGGTGTGTGTGTCTGTTTTCTGGCAAGTGGTGTCAGGGCCTGCTTGGCTAGCTGCCTACAGGCTTTAGTTATCTTCCTCATGGATCTTTGGCATGGTTGGTGCAGCCTGTTGAGCCTGGTTTCATAGTCAGGGCAGGGTTTAGTTCAGGGTGTACCTCGGCCTTTCCCAGGATTGGCCCCATCCACATCAACAGCAGAGGCAGATGAGCCTTCTAGTTCCACCGGGGTTTCAGGGCAATTGTCTTCACAACCAGCCTTTTTTCAACTTTGATACTTCTCCTTTGGATGCCGCCTTTCTGTCCCAGGTGTTGGGTGAGGACTACAGCTTTACCCCCCAAAAGCCTCCATGGCAGGCTTCTGGAGCTGAGGGGGAGGCTCAAGAAGCCTCTTGGAGAACTTGTTCCTATATTCAAGTTCCTATGGAGAGAGAACTTGGTTCTCTCTCCATAGGGTCTTTTGCTGCAGAAGGATAACTTTCCTTCTGTGTATGAGTACGATCATTCGGCTGTCTCCCCTTGGATTCGATTCTGGGTCCCCTTTGGTACATCAGAATCATTATATTTCCAGAGGTTTCTGTCTTCTACATTTTCCCATTGGTGGCTCACAGATATGTTTCAGTACCTTCTGTAGAGTTTGGACCTCTTTTTGTTGATGGATTCAGTCACTTTTGAGAATGGGTCCATCAGTTAATTTGCTATGATGTGAAGTTCTGGATTAATTCTGGCTACCATTCAGAAGGGTTTATTGGCGACTGATGCTTTGATGGGCCGGCCAGGGATGCATCGCTTCTTGTGTCTAGTGATAGTTCTTTGCCATTACTTGTGGTAAAGCTTCACCCTTGGTAGATTGCTTCACCCTTGGTAGACAACTTGTTGGTTGACCCTGTTACCTAGGTCTCCTGTTCCAAGGTTCACATTTCCCAGGTTGTTTGCAGTGTCATCAAATCTAGCTGCTAGCCTGTGGTCTACCCTCAGGCCCATGATGTTTGTAAGTATGCTGCTTTGCCTGCAGTCTTCAACATTACCTGGGCTGATATTTGGGTTCTGCATTCTTAATGGATTCTGGTAGTCTGGGTTTTTGTTAATGTCCCTGGTCCTATTAGTTCCTGTGTTGCCTTGGGGTGTGCCCCCAAGCCTCTGGGAGATGCTTCTTCTCTGTTCTAGTGCATACTGTCTCTCCTCCAACCTGTTCATTCCCAATTTTGTTGTCTAAATTGTGGAGTTCAAGTCACCAAGTACCATCAATCACGATTCATCTTCATCTGCTCTACTATAATCTCTCTCATAACCATGATGAGACCCTCTCATTTGTTGTCTGGATCCTCCTTTGTCCAGGTGTTGCTTGCTAGTGGACTGTAGGCATTATGATTATCAGTTCATCATCTTGATTATATATCTCCAGTGTCATTAGTCAACTTCTCATGGACTGCGTTAGTGTGACGACAATATCTGGCTTCTTCAGCTCTATTATATCATTTAGCTCCAGTGTTTGATCTCACTCTGTTAATACTGTATATGATTTTCAGGAACATGTTCTAATTCTCGTTATCCTTTACTCTCCCTTGCTCTAATAATTTTGTTGATTTGCATTTATGTACCATTTTACAGGCTTCCCAATCTATATTACCTTGTAGAAAAATATAAATTCTCATTCATACCTCATGTAAATGATTTGCTTCAATGAGGTTCAGTTTCAGCTTCTCTGTCTATCTTTTCAAGATTTTGTCTTGATTGACCACAATTTCTCATCATCACTGCCTTGCAATTTTCTAACATTCCTAAATCTTCTATTTGTTTAGCTCAATTGAGGGTAATCCTTAAGGGTTGATCTTTTCCTTTTACATACTTGTCAATTCCTTTGTAATTAGACATTATCTTCGGTTGTAATGCCTAACACTAACCTAATAATTTTGTATACAAACTTTTACTACTTCTGTGGCTCTTTCTGACTTGGATGTTATTTCCTTTTCTTTGTAACCAAAAATTTTTAGGGACTTGTTTCTATCAACTGTGCTCTATACCAGGTTTGAGTTAGATATTGGTTCTTTTCTAATTTCTTGTGTGATGTCTGCACTTTTCTGGTTACAGCAATTTCTAGCTCCCTTAATGGCTTCTAATATTTCTCTCTATCTGACCACTCATGCATAAGTTTGTTGCATATCTTTCTTGCACTTTTCTATACCCAATGTAACCTCCTCCATCTTTACTGATTAGAGATCTTTTTCCTGTTGAATATCCTTGTGTAACTCATCATATTCACTAACAACTAGATTTATCTTAACAAAAAAAAATTGTAATACTTTATTTTCCTCTTCCAGTGTTCCTTCTTGCTTAATTCTTTTGTGTGACCTTCCTGTGTATCCAGTTTGTTGCTTAGCCTATCTATATCCTGTCTCCGAGCTTGTTTTTCCACTTTTAGAATTGCTACTTTGGTTATCAAATTTTTATTGCTGCTTCTCAAATTCCTAATTAAGTCCACATGGTAATTTACAATTTTTTTTATTTTGCCAACCCATTGTGAAAAACCACTCTTGCTAATATTTTCCTCATCAAAGTGGCCAAAATCAATCTCTTCTGTGTTGTCCTTCATCAAGGCATTGACCATCTTTGTTGTGTGTGTGTGTGTGTGTGTGGATTTGGGTGAGGTGGTTTGTGTTATTGATGCTACAGATGTGCATTAACAAAGATAAGTACTTAATTCTTTCTGCAGGTAAACTTACTCTGATGCTTGGGGAAATGTCATGCCCACAAAACTTGGTGACAGTGTCTCCGTATACATTTCGCAGCCAGTGCCACAGAGGTAGTCATTCTGCCATGCCTGCATGTCTGGAGACTGAGGAAAAACCATTGTCCCAATACACTCAGTCATTGACATACACATCTCTTTAGTACAAATTACAATTCAAAAAATAATGGTTAACTCACACATGAATCTTCCTTAAATTCTGATAAACAGCATTCAGAAGTAAACTACTCACACAAATATTAATTTATGACAAAAATATGCTGAGAGGGATGACAAAAAATGTTGAGAGGGGATAACAAATTCACCCAATAAAATTGTTGGCAGTCACAGATTATTTTTTAATTAAAATAATCATAATTATAATGATTTCCAAAGGATAAGTGGACTGGCTGCCAACTATTATCTACTCCATGTAAACACACACACACACACACACACACACCTGCAAGAGCTGCTGCTCAGAGGTTGACAATGCAGAATCATACTCATAAATATGCTTATTATGTAAAACAACAATTTACTATTGTTTTTATATTTTGCATCCCCAAACTCCTGAGTTAGCAGAGCCTTAAGGGGATAATAAAATTATTCAAAATAAAAATTATCCAGTCAGTATAATATGGATGGGAAAAGTTAGGATATAACACAACTTACTAGCATAATACTGACATAATGTTAGTATTTGGATATCACTTGACACATTTTCCAGGTTGCAAATTACGCCTAACACAGCTACTTACGCAGATGTTTCACTAAATTCAAGGTCCACAAAAGCAGGGCTTAGAGCCTCTGTGTACATCTCCATGCCAGAACCCTGCTGATAATGGTCCTGCCACGGCGACATGTCAGGTGACTACCAGACAACATTAACATCATTAAATGTAATTTGTAATTGGCTCGACAGTCATTTACATTTATTCTAAAAAAAAAAAAAAGTTCCATCTAGAAATGTTGAAAATTGGCATTAATAATTCTGGCTAGAAGATACTGCAATGGTGATTTTCTGTGGATCAATGGATGATACTGAAGTGGACTGTAAAACAACTGAAACTGAATACAGCAAAGGTCATAAGAGGAACAAAATATTTACATTCAGATAAAAATCAAAACAACTTCAACATTCACCCTTTTACATGAACATATATATGAAGTTAATTAAGCTATTTCCCCCCCCCCCCTAATTATCCATATCAATTAACCACTGTGCTGCTCCAACCAAGAAATCTCGTTCTGAGAGTTGTACTATTTTTTTTTATTAATAAGTTATTAATAAGGCTATATTTTAATGTTTTTAATGTATTCATCACTCATTGTGTTTTGAAATGAAAATGGTTGAGTTTGGAAACATTTTGACATTAACTTTACCTGAATATTTATAAAAGCAACAAAAATATGTCCTTAACAATTGCACTATGAAGTCTTTGCCAAAAATAGGTGCGCAGTGGAGGGGTTAATCAACCAATTGGTGTCTGGTTTGGATAAGGTCTTCTGGTTTTCTGATCACCAAATGGATAATCCTGTGAGAGCTCAGGCAAGTGAGACATCATCATGAAAATGAAGTCTTGGTCTGTCTAAAGTCTCCAGATCATCCATGTAATTAATTACCATCTGGTCCAGTTAAGGTCCCCCAGATTATCTAATAATTGGATGGATAACCCAGCGACAGGGAAAACCACTGCAAAAATGGGGTCTGGTACAATTAAAGCCTCCGGGTTATTCAACAGGTGGTCAGATAACCCAGAGGTAGTCAGGAAAATTTCCATATTATTCAAATCTTAGAAATAACTGAGTGGGAGTTGGCCCAGTAATAAAAACTACGAACTAGACATTAAGGAAGCTACACTATTTCTAAGGGTCCCTACAATTGGAATTTTAACCTAGTGATTCCTTACAAACTTCTTACATTATATTCTTGCATCATGGCACCTACTAAATATCCTGCAACTTCTGATATGCTCCAAGATGTTGCCATGAAGAAATGTAAAAGCTATTGTTACATGTTGGGTTAAATAAGGCAGGTATGATTAGCCTCGTTGACCTACAATTTTTCACTACTATACATAATGGAAAAATACTAAAATATTCCTGATTTAGTTATAATAAACTTTTTATTTCTTCTATATTTAACTATTTTGAATGAAAAATACAAAAAATAAATAAGGATAAACTTCAGGCTAGAAACATTTATAGTGAAAATAAGACAGGGATGTGTATTGTCATATTTTGGACCAGCTACTGTACCTTCCAGCCACCTGCTCAATATTTCGGAAAGGCATTTCGTATTTTGACATGAAAAAGCTTCTTAGTTAAGCTATATTTGTCTGTAGCTACATTAAAAAGAAAAGACACTGATAGGTTTAGAATTCAAAATATTCAAATTGAAAATATTTCAGTCACTTGGCTAGCATCTCGGCAATGTTTCCCCAAGTCATATTATAAAATGACTTACGCAGATGTGCCTCCATAATGCACACAGGCAGTATTCAGAGGTTGGATTATACATACATTACAAACAGGAGATATTGTACCACTAAACTTGCACAACAGTATACCAGTATAATATACTACACAAAATTATATTACACTATTGTACATCATGTGGCTACTTCCCATTACTGTGCTCTATACTATACACTATATTGTAATGTAATTGCAAATATGTACTGCATTGTACTTAAATCACACACACTATAGATTTAAAATACACATTACAGTAAGGAGGAGCAGCACTGATTCACCGATCCCATGTGTCACAGTGCATAGATGCCGAGAATACAGCTAATGACCAAAACAAGGCAGCAAGTTTGGCCAAATTTCCAAAAGATCAAAGACCATATGATTGCAAATTGAAGACAAGCAGTTTTCCTGAATTTGTATGGCTAAATTTGTCATTTTGTAAGGTATACTGTACTATCACATATGGTATTTTGATACTCAATATTTCTAGGAGTATTAAATAGTTGTTTGATTGCATTCATTAGTGCAGTTCATGTGAATGGGTATGATAGTGGGCCATTCTCTTGCATGTGTGTTGAACCGAGATACTTGTTTACAAAATGGCTGATTTGTACATTTTCTAGGTAGGTAATCCAAATCACCAGTTTTGTCTAATAAAAAATTACTTTCATATTTTATTTTAGTTCACTGTCTTTTATTATTCACTGCTTCTATAACTGATGTATAATGAAATATGTGTATTTAGAATTTTGTAATAATTTTTAGCAAACAACCTATGTAATTCCTCCTTTTATACGTTTTTCAATTTGTACAGTTTAAATCCAACTTTTTGTTCTGTGAATAACCCCAGTAACTTCACCAGCAAATATATAATGACCATGTAAGACTTTCCAGTGTGCTAGATCAGTATTATCTCTCATTACTCAAGGAATTTAATTAATTTTTCTTTCAGCATTTTAATACAGTGGCACCTCGATTAATGAGCGGCTCTATCTATGAGTAACGAGCGAGCCACTCGCAGAACATTTGTCTCTACTAACGAGCTTTTCCTCGATTAACGAGCAGTTCCGCTGGTTCTCGGACACCTTTTACGACAGTTTTGTTGTTGTTTCGCAAGACGAGTTTTCCACATGACGAGCTTGGTGCCGGAACGGATTAAACTCGTTAATCGAGGTGCCACTGTAATTTGTGAGAACAAAAGAAGTCTGCCTGCAAGAATTATCATGTTAAATGTAGTAGTAGATGGAATTTAAGAGGTATCTTACCATGGATGAAAGGTTAATTTTGATTTTGTCAAGTCCTTGCATAACTCAAAAGGATTATTTCCTGATGCATTTTACACTGAAGTACTAAATATTTATGGCTTTGGTGGTTAGCAATTCTGTGGGCTTATAACCCTATAGGTAAAGGAGCATCTCTTGTTATTTGTCCCATATTGTGGCTTATTATGTTTGAAGCTATTGCCTTTTTATGAGTTACATTGGATCATTTAAAGAACTTGTGTAATGTCTTTATTTGTTTTGTATTTTTAAGATCTCAATGAGATCAGCCCTGTCATATTTTCTTTGTATTGTTGTTAATCATAAGGCCCTAAACCTTTCCTGGTAAGTTAATTAACATAGTACTGAGAAGATTTTTACTGGTGTCCACAAAACCTCTCCTAATGCAGTAATGCTCTTTTAAAGATGAGTAGACACGATGAGGTCACAACAAGAATTTGCACAGCTAAATATTCAGTTTCTCTTCATTGAAGTCAAAGGTTGTCTGAGTATTCCTAGGGTTTGGTTGACTTTGGTTTTACTGCAACTTTTAATTGCTGAGCAGCTTTTTTCCCCATAGATATTTGGGTTATCCGTAAACTGCATGATGTGCATTGTAGTGATGCCATCTATAACATTGATGTATATTACAAAAGAATTCGCCCTAAGAGGGTACTTTTTGGTACAAGAGTCAATATTTTTTCTTTTGAGATTTTCTCCCATTTCTCCCTTTATTTTTACTGAACATTTCATGAGCTTATCAGTACCGGTAATTATCAAACGAAGGCACCAAGCCGGGAAGACTATGTAGCACTATCAAAGTTGCAGGATATTCAAGGTGCTAAATATCACAAGGAGGCCAATATGAGAACAAAAGCACATAAAGCAAGCGATATCAAAGGTATCTAATTCACCAAGGATTCTATTGAGGGATAAGTGACTGCGAGGGACAATTGAGAATCAAGACACATGCACATCCTGGAAGTCAGGACATTCAACAAGGATATGCACAACCGTAAGAAGGACAATGCAGTTCGGACAATAAGAAGCAGGGCGGTGCTCCAGTAAGTGCCCACAAGTTAACGTGTATGGCCAATACATAACCTTGTCAGAGCTGTTTCCCACTATTGGTTACAGTGATAGGAGGAAGACCCAGGAGACACAACCCTTAAGAGCACACAATTTGTTATAAGTCACCTGGGTGACAGCATACAGTAAAAGATATATCTGATAATGCAAATAAACAAAAGCTAAAAGAAACTAATTAATGCACATTTTGTATATAAATAAATAAGCATATACCCTTTAAATACAGTAGATGAGATTAGGGGTACAGTATACAGTGCTATATATTATATAATATTTTTTATC